GGATTTTAAAGGGATAAGTGCAGTGATAAAATACATGCAATTTATTTAAAGGTTAGTGGTGTGCTTGAGGAGCATTACTCTGAAAGGTGACAGTGATTGGCTAGTCATGTACTTGAAATGTAAATTAAATTACATTTACATTTTGTTGTATTTTTTAAACTGTCAGAACTTGTTATGAAACCACATACGAAGATCATGATTTGTTGGGAAGTGTTTGAAAGTTACAGAATTTTGTTTGGGGGTTCCCTATTCCAAAATTATAAGTCCTAATGATGCTTTTTATTTTACCTTGAATGAGGTATTTCACAGTAAAGCCTTGTTAGGGGAAGTATCTTGAAGTAAAATACTGTTGGCTTTGGAATTAAACCTAATGACCTCAAAAGTACAGAGGATAAGTTTCTTGGATATGAAAAAAACAAGTAATAAATCCGAATATTTCCCACCAGCCAGCTCTGTTCCATATGTGTTGCCTTTTGAAATTAGTTCTTACTAACATTTACTGGTGTTTGTTTAGTGTATAGTTGAGTCATCAGATGATTTTGGAACTAAACTTGAGAGTCTTAGACAACCTAATTTTTAGGCTATATATTTTTTACATGTTATATTTAAAACTTTCTGGGTTAAGTCTGAAAATAAAATCTTAGGATCCATTATATAAAATTCATCCTGACCTTTCCCCCTTAATGTTGGAAACTTCATATAGCTCATGCAGATTTAAATTATGCCATTGAGTAAATGAAAAAGTTGCTTTATTAAATTATATTTAGATTGTGCTCTACCACTTCTAAATAATTTATTTTTAGTGAGCAGCAAAGTATGTTCTGTGCTCTTTTAGTGTGTTAATTTAAGGTAGGCTCTTAGTCTTTTTTCTTTTATAGCTGTGGAAACAATCATGGAATTTTTTACCCCCCTTTGAGGTCATAGTAAATGGTGGAGGTAGCATTTAAACCCAGGCAGTTTGTTTTAGTGCCTCTAAATTTGTTTTCTCTAAAGTATGTCCTACAGAACAGCCTAAATTCCTAAATGACACTGCGTAGCATTTAGATAAGTCATTTGCACTCAATTGTATAACTTTATGCCTGTCATTTAATACTATAATATGGTGTAAAAGCAAGGAGATTTCAATTGTTGAGTAGGTGTTTTAAATTGAACACTGTATTGCCTTTGGGGTGCTAAATAGCTTGTCGGTAGAATTAAAAAAGTAAACTTGGTTAATTACTGTAGATGAAGTTCTACATTTTAATTGGGGTTATTGATTTACTTACAACTAAGGATCAAATTTTAAACTGTATTGCAGCATTAGGGGCCCATTTTTGTTGTTACTTGAACAAATCTTGTGATGTAGTTTTAACTTGGCTGCTTAGGATTTTTCTGACATTCTATCTGTACTTCATTGTAAAGTGTTTGCACATCTCTGCAGGAGTGACAGCATCTTGGAAGTCAGTCTTTGTATTCAAGGCAGCAGAGGTAATCTGGATGGACAATAGGTATTGTGCTTTAAGCAAGATACAATAATATAAATCATGAAAAATTTAAATTGGTATCATTTTATACCATCTCATAATTTGAGGGAGAGCATGTCAGAGTGCTGATATTCTAAGAGAGGCAAAAATAAGTTCCCATTTATCCAGAATTAAGATAACATACCTTACACTCACTATACCATACTGTGATATTTTGGTGTGCTTACTCAATAAAGATGGAATGTATTTAATATGTTCCATTTAGTGCAGATGGAATGGATTTGCTACAGTTTGTGTTCATTGTATATATTTACCTGTCAGTTGTGCAGCAACCTTGATTAGAGCAGAAGAAAAGTGCTTTTTGGCTTACCAACTGGTAATACATTTGCCTCAAAAAAACCACTAAAGCTCTTGCTCCGACTGTGTACTTTACATACAATTTGGGAAGCTTTTTATCACCTACCTGTCCTAAAAAATGGGAGGGGTAGGCATTTTAGAACAGCAACTGGTAATTAACCTAGCAAAAATGAAAAAAGAATTTGTTAAAATTGCTAACACATGAGATGCACTAAGTGTATTAATAAATAGCTCTCTAATTTCAGAAGACCCTATGGGCATGCTATAGTAGTATAATATATTAGAGATGACTGACCTATACAGTGTCAAAGCATGGTTACTCTATTTAATTAAAAAGGCAGAAGGGTGAGATGTTGCAGAAGAAAACATTTATTCCAAATAATTGAAGGTTAAAAAACAATTGGAGATGGGGGAGGGCTGTCAGTGCCTTCAAGAAGATGGAATATTTGGCTTTCAGTCTTTAAAGGTGCTGGATAGCTTAAGATTTACTACATATTTTGCTCTAAATTTTTTTGAGAAATAGTCATCAATCTTATGGAATATGTGTAAGTTACAGTTGGCCAGAATATATTCTGAATAAATGGGATTTGATTGATTAGAAGGGATAGCATCTTTTTTTAAATCCTCACCCTAGAATATTTTTTCATTGATTTTTTAAAAAAAATTTATTTATTTATTTTTAAGAGCGAGGGAGGGAAGAGGGGAGAGCGAGCGATAGACTGATACATCCAGATATCGACATTGATTGCTTGCCTCCTGCACAATCTCAGCCATGGCCGGGGATCAACCTGCAATCCAGGTTACAGGTGCCCTTGACTGGGAATCGAGCCTGAGACTCTTTGGTCCTCGGGCCTACGCTCTAGCTTTAGCTTTAACTGCTGAGCCAAAAACCGGCCAGGGCAGGAAGGATAGCATCTTTAGTGACCTTTTCAGTTTTAAGGTAGACCCATTTAACTTCTCTACTAAATACTATTCAAGATTGAAAATCTTTTTGAAGAGCACTTTTATAGGGCTAGTTAATGAATTGATATGCTTATCTAATATTTAAGAGAAATGACTTCCTATACTGTAAAAAAACATTTGAGGCTTGTGAGTAATAATGGAACATGCCTCATTCCTGTGGTATAATTTATTTTTTTGCAATTGTTTTGTGTTTCTTAATTTAAATACACTTAATCCAATATAAACATTGCCTTGGTTAAATAAAATTAAAACTAATTTTGTCTCAAATACAAGAGGCTTATTCTAAAAAGCTAAAGTTGAAAGGCAAGAAAATTCTGTGTCTGGTCTGTTTCTCAGATATTCTCTTAAGACTGAAAATATTTCAAATCTAAATTATTGATGAAAAATTTCTGTAATTACAGAATTGGTCATTTAATAATTAAATTTCAACTTAAAGTTGTTTCTGTTCTGGAACTTGCCATGGATAACTGAGCAAGAGGTCATTCATTGCTTTACTAGTCAGTTTTCTTTCTCATCTTTAAAAAGATAGTTATGTCCTAACCTTGAAAGGGTAAATGTTGGTAATGAGCTATCATCTATGAAGGAAGTACTCTGGGTCTTTAGGTTAAAAAATAAGGTGTTTAAGGCAACTTAAGTGACCAGGAATGGCTGTTACAAGGTGTATTACTTGAATGAAAGAAAATGTAATTGAAAATACCTCAACTTTCCCCCATGGAATTAGTAATAAATGTTAATACCTATACAACATGGGTGTTTTTGTAATGCTGATTATAAAATACAAAAAAAGGTTAATAAAGGTTACTTCAAGCATGGAAATTTTATCACAGAAAATCCTGAAAGTTAAGTGTATAAATGGCCCAACTCGAGAATACATGTATAAGTTGAAAACCTAAACTGAAGTGGGAAGCACAGTGTATACCTAAAGTAAGACTTCTTTTGCATTAAAAGTTAACTTTCTCATTAGAAGTAAAAACAAGTCTATGGGTAAAATAGTAAGATCAGTAACACCTCAGTTAATCTGGCATCTTTAGGTAGAAGCAGAAGCAAGATCTTAATCTAGGGATAAAATTGGCTTCTTGTTGCAAGAACTGGCTTTAGTGGCGATATTTTAAAAGCCCACAAGATGTTCATGTTTTCTGCTTTAATTTATTTCCAGAGCTGGAAGTTAGTGCTACATCCCCATTCCTACCCCAGCCCACCCCATTTATAAAGATGAGAAATTGTTGAGCAAGGATGATTTTATTCCCATGATGAAACTTTCAGCCCTCACATAACAAATTCTGACAGTTTACCCTTAAAATCTCCAGTCCTGTCTCTTTTAAAGGGTAGAGGGTAGGTTATATGTTAGCTCCTTTTTGGAGGGGGACATAGGACACAGATCTAAAAAGGATCACAGAGTTGCCAGATGTGAACTTTATGGCTTTTTGCTGTTTAAAAAAAGATTTCACCTTAAAAATTTTTTATAGTATATATTTTTGGTCTCTATAAAGTGTCATAGTGGTTTCCATTTACCACTGGTCACTTTTAACATCTTAAAGGTTTAAATATTTTATTGCTACTTAACTGAGGTTCTACTGTAAATAAATCATTTAGGTTAATAAAGGGATTGTACTTCAATGGATAATTCTTTTTGTTCACTGAATATTTCACGATGACTTTCGTCTTTATTAAGGGCTCTTAGCATATCAAAATTTTTTGTTTACGACTTACTTGTGAGACTGAGAATTTTCCATTGTATGTGCTAAGAGTTTTGGTAAATAGAAAGGAACTTCAGCATAGACATGCTGTCACTGATCAGTGGGGACTAAATAGCCTTTTTACAAATATGAAGATTTGGAAGGGAAATTTGAAGCTAAAATTCTGTATTTTGCTGTTAACAATATTTAACTTGTAAGTTAAGAAAGACATAATGTACACTTTTTTTACTTTGGGGAAATAATTTATCTTTGCTAAGTCAAAAGATTTAATCTGCTGCTTGCTCACTATATTGTAATTATACAGGCGCAGCAGTGATAAAGCAAAACTTTCTAAAACTGGAATAGAGTGTTCTTTGATATGTGGTTATGTAGGAAGAGCAATTTTTTCATGTACTGCCCAGTAAATTGGTGCAGTTTGAAAAAGGTATTATTGATGTGAATACTTAAGGCAAAGTTTGATTTTCTTTTCTTTTCTTTTTTTTTTTTTTTAGCATTTTAATATTGCTTTTTGTCTTTACAGGAAAATGTTTATAGGAGGCCTTAGCTGGGACACTACAAAGAAAGATCTGAAGGACTACTTCTCCAAATTTGGTGAAGTTGTAGACTGCACTCTGAAGTTAGATCCTATCACAGGGCGATCAAGGGGTTTTGGCTTTGTCCTGTTTAAAGAGTCGGAGAGTGTAGATAAGGTAGTGTGTTATGTGTTCTGATCAGTTAATAATATAAAATATGTGTATAGTTTGATAAAATTAATTTGTCCATTATTTTTAATTGCCCCTTTTGCAATGATATGAAGGAAGAAATAACAGTTCTTGCCAATACATTTGATGAAGAGTCGAATTCAATAATTGTTTACTATGCCAACTATACTTTTTTATTTTATTTTATTTTTTAAATAAGCTTTAAAAATTTTTTTCTTTAGAGAGGAAAGGAGAGAGAGATAAAAACATCAATGTGAAAGAGATACATAGATCGGCTGCCTCCTGCACACTTCCTACTGGGGATCGAGCCCAAAACCTGGGCATATGCCCTGACTAGGAATCAAACTGGGACCTCTCAGTCCATGGGACGACACTCAATCCATTGAGCCACACTGACTGGGCTATGCCAACTATGCTTTTAATAAAAAATTTAAAACTGCCCAAGTATATAAAAAGGTTTATTGAATACATATATTCTGTGTGCCAGGCTCTACTAAAATAAAATTAACTTTAAAAGTATTGAGACTTAAAGATGCCTAATTAAAAGTTCAGGCTGTGACAAGTTCATAGAAGTACAGGTTTTTGAAATTGCTAGGTAAGAAACTTTTTTTAAATCTTCACCTGAGGATGTTTTTTTCCATTGGTTTTCAGATGGGGGGAGAGGGGAGGAAGGGAGAGAGAGAAAGGGAAAGAAACACCAGTTTCGATGAGAGAAACACATCGATTGGTTGTCTCTCACATGACCTCAATTGGAATCGAACCTGGGATTCTCTGGTTCACAGGCCCACGCTCTGACTGCTGAGCCAAACTGGCTAGAGCTAGGCAAGACACTTTTTACTGAGTCATTTGGTCTTGGGCTAAGAAGTGGCAATCATGTCTATATTGTGGATAGTCAAAGGTGATGTTTTTTAGTTCTGATTTGTTTCTCCCCTTCCAATTCTTCCTGACCTTTATGTTTAAATACAGGTGTTTGTTAGCTGGTGTCATATCACTATAATTTAATAATTTAATCATGAGCCAGTCAACATATACCTGGCTTTAGCTATATTAATTTAACTGTAATTATTTTTAGGTAAGTTAATAGTTTCTGAACTTAAGCATGTTTAAAATAAAATTCAATTTCCTTAGGTCATGGATCAGAAAGAACATAAATTGAATGGGAAGGTGATTGATCCTAAAAGGGCCAAAGCCATGAAAACAAAAGAGCCTGTTAAAAAAATTTTCGTTGGTGGCCTTTCTCCAGATACACCTGAAGAGAAAATAAGGGAGTACTTTGGTGGTTTTGGTGAGGTATGTGATAATGTTTTGAACCATTTTTTTCCCAAATTAGTGTGAATGTAATTGTCACATTAAGGGTTTTTCAAAGTTTTGGATTTTAAACAGTTATGTGGTTATTTTCTCTATAAGGATATTGTTAATAGTTTATTAGCAGATCTTTGAAGGTTAGATGGATTGCTTTTTTCCCATTTATTGAGGAACTACTGTATGCATAGCACTGCTGTGCACAGGGCACACAAAGATGAAATAGACATTCTTATCTCATTGAGTTTACCAGATTAATAGAATAAATAAAAGTAAAAACAACATGAGGAAGAAATTTAGATGGAATTACCTGAAATACAGAAGGAAATGGTTCAGCTAAGAATAGGAAAGGAATGAATTAAGAATAGTTTGGTGCCGCCTTATTATGTATTCCTTTTAAAAAATTTTTTTTGATTTTAGAGAGAGAGGAAGGGTGAGGGAGAGAGAGTTAGAAACATCGATGAGAGAGAACATCGACTGGCCGCCTCCTGCATGCCCACCACTAGGGATCTGGCCCACAACCTGGGCATGTGTCCTGGCTGGGAATCGAACTTGCAATCTCTTGGTGCATGGGGTCAACACTCAACTACTGAGCCACACCAGCCGAGCGACGCCTTACTATTTTTAAAATAGGTTTTTATTGACCTCTTTTTTAGAGAGGGGGGAAGGGAGAGGGAGAGAAACATTGATGAGAAACATGGATCGGCTGCCTCCTGTACACCCCTTACTGGGGATTGAGCTGGCAACCCGGGCATGTGCTCTGCCCGGGAATTGAACTGGTAACCTTTCTGGTGCACAGGACGACTGACAAGCAACTGAGCCACACTGGGCAGGGCAGTGCTTTCTAATCTAAAGACATGTTATTTGTGCAAATTTTATGAGTCTAATTATGCACTTAGTGAAATAGTGAGATAGGAGTTTCTTTTATGGGTTAATGATTTAAAGCTGAGGAATACATGGCTTTGGGCAACAAATATAGCCAGCGGATATAGTTTGCTGATATGTTTTGCTTGATTCCAACTGAATGCATGTTTTGTTTTTAGTATTTAGGAATGGAGACATTTCCTACAAAAATCTGAATATCTAGCTTTCTTAAATATTTGTAAGAGCAAGCAACTTTGGAACTGCTTTCTTGCATGGCAACAGCCATCTAAGATGAGTAGCATCTTCCACCTTTGGGCAGTCATATGTTGTCTAGTTTTCAGTGGTCCTCATCACTCCCCATTTTCTCCCAAATGCAGTCTCTTTTATTCCATTTTCTGTAAAATTTACTGTTCCCTTCTGCTTGTTGTTGATAGGCATTTGAGTTTGTGACCTTTGAATCAGGCAGCAAATATTAGCACTCTGTGTAGCTTGTAAATTAATTGGTTTGAAGACATTTTAGGTGGAATGGATATTCTAATTTGAAGAATTATTTTAAAATAATAGAATTAATGGAGAGGGACACAGCAGATTTGAGCTTGAGAGCCAAATGTATGTTTTCTTTGTGCATTTTTCCCCACTAAACTTGTGCCCTTGTTGTCTGTAAAGTGCCAACTAAGGAATTAAATTTTTTTTTAAAAAATATCAGGTGGAATCAATAGAGCTCCCCATGGACAAATCTAATAAGAGGCGTGGATTCTGCTTTATTACCTTTAAGGAAGAGGAACCAGTGAAGAAGATAATGGAAAAGAAATACCACAATGTTGGTCTTAGTAAAGTAAGTCAGCTTCCATTTAATTGTAGACTTGTAAAACTAGCTTCTCTAAAGAGTATAGTCCTGTAGCTTTCTATAAAAGCTTTGTTTGGTGTGCTTTGTTTTGCTTTTATTGGGGAGAAGGGAAACAGTTTTTTGTTTTGTGTTTTTAAATATTTTTATTGATTTTTTTTTTTTAGGGAGAGAGGAGGGAAAGAGAGAGAGAGACATCGATGTGAAAGAGAAACATCTATCAGCTGCCTCCTGCATGTCCCTAACCAGGTATCGAGCCTGCAACTTGGGCATGTGCCCTGACCCGGAATTGAACTAGCAACCTTTCAGTGTGCAGGATGACACCCAACCCACTGAGCCACACCAGCCAGGGCAAAACATTTATTCTTAAGAGAATTTTTATCTAGGTTTTACCAAAATATATTTCTTGCGAAGTAGGATGTAATAGCATATTTCAAGCAAATACTTTTGTTGATATCATCAGAAGTAATTATTTCTTTAAGTACTAATGGATTGAGTTGATAAACAGATTTTGAGAAAATTATCAAATTAACTCAACTATATTTTAGAGCCTGTTGGCTATTCTGAATTCAAAACAGTATTTTCTTGCTTCAGTATAATATTTTTCTTATAGTGTGAAATAAAAGTAGCCATGTCAAAGGAACAGTATCAGCAACAGCAACAGTGGGGATCTAGAGGAGGATTTGCAGGAAGAGCTCGTGGAAGAGGTGGTGGTAAGCTAGAGCCTAAGTTTACTCTATCTTAAGCTTTTCTGCTTTTTAATTATCCTGAAGTAAAGATCTTTGCTGATCTTCTGACTTTAGTGAACCTATTAATGTGCTGCAGGCCCCAGTCAAAACTGGAACCAGGGATATAGTAACTATTGGAATCAAGGCTATGGCAACTATGGATATAACAGCCCAGGTTACGGTGGTTATGGAGGATATGACTACACTGGTTACAACAACTACTATGGATATGGTGATTATAGCAGTAAGTACTATACTTTTTATATTAACTGCTATTTGACATTTATTTTGTACAAATCTGGATAGGTAGAAAGGTTAGTGTAGCTTTGCCAACTACAAATTTCAGGTTTCAAATTCCTGGAAACTTGAAACTGCAGCCATTTTATTGCTAGGTTCCTCCCAGCCTATACCACGTGCACACTATAAGGGTAAGGTATCTGTGTGCTTCTCTATATGTATGCTGGGCTTTGGTTTTTCTTGCATTTTAAAACTTTAAGGTTAGTTCACGTTTTCCAAGCTCAGG